ATTGGAAAGTTTTAATCAGAAAGTTAATTTAATAGTGTTTAAAACCTAACTATAGAAGAATCCAAAACGCGCATTAAAAAAATAAATAAAAACTAACAAAAAAAAACTAAATTAGAAAAATCTTAAACTAACCTTAATATTTAATCTAAAAACAAAGCAGATTAAAACATAGTCCAACTCCTGTCTTCACTAGCATAGAGAGCAAAATAAAGCAAAGTTCCCCTTCTAGGTCTAACGATCCATAGGGCAGAGGAAGTTGAGCACATGTTTTTTGATCTCCTAAGAAGGCAGCGTGAAGGCAACCTCTTTGACAGCATGGGGCGGCGTGGTCGAATGGTAGAGCATTTGCCTGCTAACTGGAAAGTCTGGAGTTTGAATATGGTTGCAAGTCAATATAACGTTCGTTACGAAAAGAAACGGTTGCTGGGCATAACAGGTGAACTCTACTTCCCTTGCCTCGTGGGCCGTTATTTACAACGCCCAGCAAAATTTACTTCCCAAAAGTGAGTTAGAGACCCATCAGAGATGAGTGGGCAAGGGACGAGCATGCTGTCCCTTACTTGAATCAACACTGAGATAATCTTTGGCGATGTTGTACAGGGGGTAGTCAATGAAGAGTTTAGTTCTGTGGAAGTGAAGGAAACAAGCTTACCCCGAGGTGAGTTACAACCATCTTGCCTATCTCAGCATTATATGTTAGAGACCGCCTCTTTAATTATTATAAGAAAAAAATAATTTATCTATATTTTCTGGTTTTCATTATATTTAAAAACGTTTTGGTAAAACTGTAATGAATTTAAAAATATATTCGGCTTTCAGTATTAAAGTATTGAAAAGTTTAAAATAAAAAGCCGATAGACCCCGACATACATTTTCTGTATCGTATTAGTCTAATATTCCATTGTTGGAAAAATAAAGCTTACACATTATTTTTCCTCATTCTGCTCATTCTCGACACTCCTTGAGACTCCACAATTTTACAGTAAACCAGTACAGTATCTTGTCATTTTTATAGTCCGTTATAAAAATGGCCAGCAACCATTTTCTAACCTAAATTCACGTTATCTTTCACGTAATAGCTAATGTCAAATTATCCCATTTTTAGTAATATTCATATTCATTTTTAATTACTTATTAGTTTCTTGTATATGAAGTATAGAGCAAGTATAGTATCCGTACAAAAAAACAAAATCGCCGGTTTTTTTTTTTACAAATCTTGACGTTTTATACCTCCCTGAGTTCGTGTGTATGTATATGTGTATGTGTGTATATATGTCTGAGAACACGATAACTTGAGTACCATTACAGCTAGGTTGATGAAATTTTATATATAAGTATTATATCAAATTTGTAGTTCTGTATCAACTTTTCAGCGACTTCCGTTGATCGGGAGTAGTAATTTACTCTTTTTCAGATTTCTCAAAAAACTAATATGAGAATATACTGATGCATGCTGAGTGGACTCTCTGAAGATATACTGACATATTAACTTTAACGGAGGCTCGGAAAACAAATCGGTGACTTGCCATATTTCAAATATTATGCAACACGTCTCTTACAACAATTGTATGTTTTTTAAACATAACTTTTCGAGGTTTTTTTTTTTAATGGCGCTTGTCGTAAATTTAATTAAACAGGGATATTGACAGCCCTGTCGAGGAATACCTAAGAAGAAATTCTTAAGGAAAAATTAGCTTTCCATTCCAGCTTCAATATTTCCATGTACGCCTGTCTCGGTAGCCTAGCCACGCTTAGTGTCTAAGAATTGAGAGATCTGATGAATCTATTTGATGGAACCACCAGACGGTTCAATGATAGACTCAATCCATCCCGGCATCATCCTCTCCTCGTACAGTTCACAGGGTCTTTGATAAACTAGTTGTTCACAATCTCCTGCCTTTCCTCGTACAGTTCACAGGGTCTTTGATAAACTAGTTGTTCACAATCTCCTGCCTTTCCTCGTACAGTTCACATAGTCTTTAATAAACTAGTTGGTCACAATCTCCTGCCTTTCCTCGTACAATTGACAGGGTCGTTGATAAACAAGTTGGTCTCAATCTCCTGCCTTTCCTCTTCCGTCGTACAGTCGACAGGGTCGTTGATGACCTCCTTGGTCACAATCTCCTGCCTTCCCTCGTACACTATTCTTAGTCAATCCAGTCGTCTCTTGGTCCTCTCGAGCATCTCCGAGCTGAAAAGTTTACCCTCATCGGATGTTGGTCTCCATCGTACTGGTTATAAGGCCCGACACTCCTTCTTTGACAACGATATCTGCAGTTGCCACAGACGCTGTTAGGAGATCTCCATTGGCGCAGTGGATCCCATGTCATCTGCAAGTACCCTAGGCGCTGTTAGAGAGTCGCAGTTCTACCCCATATCTACGCGGGATCCCATGTCATCTGCAAGTACCCCATTCAATGTTAGGGGGTCGAAGTTCTACCACATTGGCGCAGGTGATCCCATGTTATCTGCAAGTACCCCAGACGTTTTTAGAGAGTCGAGACTTTCCTCATTAGCGCAGGGGATCCCATGTCACCCAGTACCCCATTAAACGTTAGAAGCTCGAAACTCTACCCATTGGCGCAGATGATCCCATGTTATCTGCAAGTACCCCAGCGCTATTAGGGAGTCCAGGTTTTCCCCATTGAAAACTGTTGTGATGTAGAGCTAGCAGCCATTGTGTAGCTATCAACAAGCACTAGTTTTTCAGAAGGTTGATTACCTTTTACGTCTTTTCCCACTCATGTAACCCACACAACACCCACACATATCCCACCACTAACCACTCGTCTACCAGCTGGTCTCACAAGCCCGCGAACCAGATTAACGACTCTTGCAAGGGAAATAACCCGCTTTCTTTTATAAGCTCCTGATTTTCATCAAAATGTTTAAAATTATTCGAGTTAGAGATAATTATTTTTATATTTATGCTTTTAAAATTTTATTGTGAGCTTGTGGTTTACTTTAACAATAAAATTGTATTACTTTGGAATAAAAAACAACATTGTATGCATAAAAGAAAGAGCTTCCCTATATGTCTACCCTGACGTCTAGAAAAAATAAAGTTCGATTACTGTTTTTAATTATATCTTTTTTTCTTTCTATCGCTTAAAATACATAAAATTAACATTTATCTCCTAATTTTAATGTAAAAAAGTAGTAGTTACATAAAATCAAAATCATTTGCTGCGATGAACAAAGGAGGATCAATATTATACATATGATAAAGATTTCTTTGTATTGCTTTATTTAATAAACCCAATTCCCAAGATTTACTAGTTAAAACACAATTAACTTGTTAGTAAAAAGATTAAAGCTTAAGAAAAACTTTTAAAATAGTCTGTTTTTTTTTACTTAAATTTTATTTGAACTTTTTGTAAAACAGAAATAACAAGCAAAATGGCGAATATTGGTTTTTTAAATTAAAAATTCGTGGTCACTCAAATCCTCATTTGGCAGCTTAGCTAGTAGACTCCTGTCTGTTTTGACGTGCACCCTTTCAAAGTCCACAAAAACAACTATCACTCGCGAAGAAAGGAACACCAAAAGCCAATTTACAATAAGACCACAACAGACGCGCCAACAAACAAACAAACACATGCAAGCGGAAAAAAAATATCCGCCCCTAGTCAGAGTTCCAGGAGGAACTTGCGTCACAAGATCCGGTTTATCACAGCAAAATGTAACAACCAATCGGAGAACGAGTTATTAATATCACATGGAGAGGTCATGAATTACAGCATTGAAAGTTAGAAGTGGGTTTTTAAAAATGGAAAATATAATATCACAACAATACATATTTAATTGAAAACAGAGACGAATTATTAAACGAAAAAAAAAATTAGATAATGAAAAAAAGTTATATTTATAAAAATGTTATAGATTTATAATAGATGTTTGCTGTTTCTAAGCCACAATGAGTGAAGAAAGATTTACACATAAATATTGAGTTCTTTTTTGCTTCAAAATGTAATTATGGTTTAAAAAAAAACTTTAAAAAAACTTTTGTCTGTAGTGTGTTGTTTCGTTTGAAAGTTTTGTATTTCTTTGCCTTGTTTTCGAAACGTATTAATATTTTAAATACAAAATCTTTTGTTTAGTGTCCCACCAGATTCATACTCACTCACTCACTCTCCCCCGGGGTACTTAGATGATCACAAGTACCTTTCTCACGCGCACACACACACACATGCAAACACACACACACACAAACACACACACACACAAACACACACACACAGACACACACACAAACACACACACAGACACAGACACACACACACGCACACACAGACACACAGACACACACCATCCTTGTTGCATGCACACATTTTAAATTGAACACAACAAAAATTGGTTACGTACGACAGTCACGTCTTGGTAAAATTCGCATCAAAATGATGCAACGTAAAGTGAAAACCAACACAACATAAAAAAAAGTGTGAGTATTCTGTTCGGAAACAATTGAACAAAGAAATCGTCATTAAAATATATGACATTGAATAACTCATTGTTAAACGGTAAAACGTATATTGTTTGTTTAACTTTATTATGCAACGTTGTTAGGCTAGTCATATGTTATTAGCCTTAAAAATATATTCTTACAGTAATAATTTTTAATAGTTTTAGAATCTTGTTATGATCATGAAATAGGCCAAATCCTTATGTAAAACTTAATCTTAGCTAATACCATAACAGCAAGCAAAGCCCCAATACCTCATAGCCGACTAATAACAAGGAGTTAATCCTACACTTAACGACACTGACCCTAAAAGCCAAACTTGTGGTCATTACATTATGTTATCACTGTAAGCACAACCAGACACGTTCAAATGTTATGTGACACGAAACCACATATATGATACATTATGAGCTTCTTCTATCACAAAAAATAATAGATCGCTTATCAAATAGAAATGTCAAAATAAGAGAGAGGTCAGATACATTAAAATAAAAATTGAAAATAATTGAGACTATATTTTCAAAAAAATTCAAAAAAAAAAAAAAAAAAAAAAAAAAAACCCGGTCTTATGACTGTCTAGTCAACATTTTGTCTACATGTGTCCATAAACACATGGTCGTTAAACACAAATAAAAGATGGCGTCTAATACAGACAAACAGATAATTAATAAATAATTATTGAGGCTTCAATGCCAAAATTGATTGTTTTTTTTTATTCAGACGAGAAGTCTTTTCACTCTTTTTGCTGGAGTTCTTGTCTGAAATTTTTTTGGGCTGTTTGCGCACATCCGCCGCGCAGGTCGGCCATCATGTGGTTAGGTCAGTTTCCGGGAATGTGGAGAAGGAAGGTGTCAACGCCGTGCCAAAATCTGCGGATGGTAAAAATAGATTGGTGAGACTAATGACAAACTGGTGATTAATAATGCCACGTTATTGATATGGCAATTACATGACATTATAGATAAGACATGGTAAACTGGAAATAATATAACATTTTAATTAAGACACATTGAACGGCCTGGCCTAGGCGGTAGAGCGCTAATCTTCCAACTCTAAGATCCCGAGTTCGAATCCGGGTCCAAGTCAGTAGAACGTCACTGAGTCCACCCAACTCTAATGGGTACCTAACTCTATTAGAGAAAGTAAAGGAGGATAGGCAAAGTGCTGGCCACACCTTCACTTCATATGCCGAGGTCAAGAAACATTTGAACTCTACTTCATCTGCCTAATGGAACGTTAGGTCTAAATGTGATTCTTTACTTTATATAAGACACAGTTAACCATAAAGAGTATTTGACAGTATACGTATGACAAATGACAACCCGGAAATTGTATGACATTATAGACTTGATATGTCTGATTGATATCATATGTCATTTCAAAAAATACCAAATTGCGAACCGAAAACTAAATGACATTAAAGATATGACATATGATGACATGAAAATTATAAGACATTATATGAAAAGACGAGACAGCCTGGACATTATATAACATCATTTATGTGACATTAGGAGAGCCGGAAATTAAATGAAATTATAGAAATGACACAAGACAATACAAAATTGAGTCTATATATATATTTCTGGGAGACGCTAAAAAACAAGCTGTAAGCGCGCTTCCTACCACCCCACCCCTATATGGTCTGGTGAGCTTTGGTTCACGCTAAATATTTACATTCGTAGAGCCGGGTTTAGTGACGGTTACTATGGGCAGATAATTTAGTTTGAAACGATTTTAAACATAGGGGAGGTAACTAAGAGTACGCTGTTTTCACGGGGGTGGGGTAGTGGTTGGGAAAAGGAGGGGGGGGGGTATTGTCCTTAACGAGCTACTGATAGTGTTTTAAAGCAAATATATTCAGTGGCAGCATTGGTACTGTCGAATTCACAAATTATGAATTACTAAAAAGTAGAAAATAAAATAACTAAATAGCGGCGTATGATACGCCGCGGGTCGGCTCGTTGATAATAATTCAGAATTCCTTCAGTAAGTTGTAAATTAAAAGCAATCTATAACAAAACTCTTTAAAGAGTTGTGTCCCATTCTTGTAGGTAAGAGTTATGTGGTGTTGGTGTTTGTTTACAGTGGGACAAAGTCGTTCGAAATGGACATGGTTTAATTCTGAGCCCCTCCACCCACCTTCAACTCAACTAATTTTAAAAAATCGACCATGAGATGGGAACATGAAATAATGTTGGTACTGTTCTTCCAAGCGTCGTAATACAGCCAAGACAACATAGGGTAGGTTAATTTAGCCACGAGGTTAATATAGCCACTATGGGCTTTAGTTGAAATAAAACATGACAGCTAAGGTTTCAGTTAGACTGTATAACGGTCCATGGGGCTAGTAGAGTTCACCTGTTTCTGTGACATCGGCAAGTGAAGGGAAAGTGTGGTCAACATTATTCACAGCCGCCTTTATTTCCATACTATGAGTCGGGAACCCATCGTAGCAGGGTGAACTCAGGGACGTTCTACTGATTTGAAACCGGAATCGAACTCGAGACTTTCGCGTTAGCAGTTTAGCGCTCTACCGCTAGGCCACGCCGTAAAAATATTTTTTTTTTAATTATTAAAAAGCATAAATATATGCTTTATGCTTTCTCGTCCCTATTGTCACCCACACCCCTCTCGAAATGAAACACGTGAAACCTCTTCACCGATAATTTGTCACTATCTAATGGATTACAACCAGTTCAAAGCAGTACAAGAATCGACCCCCCCCCCCCCCCCCCCCGCCACATTAGTATCAAGCCGTTATCATCTGACCACAAGATTACAACACAAAATGTCTTAACGTGTGGGATAGGTCAGGAAGTAGCCAGCGCACGGAATGCTGGGAATGTGACGTCACACCTCATTCTCGTGACTGATAATGGAATAGAGTGCGATTTTTTTTTTCTTCTATGTACATCGGTCACGTATTTTCTCTCTCTCTCTCTCTCTCACACACACACACACACAGGGGCGTAGCGAGGGGGGCGGGGGTGCGGACCACACCGGGTGACACCATTTAGGGGGGTGACACCAAGGCAAAAAATAGCAAAATATATAGAGAAAAACTTGAGGTGGGGGTGCAAATCGAAAGTTTGAGAGGGGGGGGGGGTGCAAATAGAAAACTTGAGGGGGGGGGGTGCAAATCGAAAGTTTGAGAGGGGGGGGGGGTGCAAATCGAAAACTTGAAAGTTTGTCCCCGGGAAGGGTCGCTACGCCTCTGGGGGGTGACACCATTAAGTGCCGCACCGGGTGACACCCGACCTCGCTACGCCACTGCACACTCTCTCTCTCTCTCTCTCTCTCTCTCTCTCTCTCTCTCCCTCTCTCTAGTTATTGATGAGTTACAAAGTCCAGAAAACTTAGGCCTGATTGTGTGGTACATTCGGGTGTTTTATCATACAGGGTGTAGCGGAGGTCGGAGGTTAGGTAGAGAAATGCATGTCACTGGGGCACACGTGGTTATGAATGACAAAGCTGAAACGTGGTTTGTGTGAACCCAGGTTTTGAAACTATTTGGTTATGAATGACGAAGTTTAGACTATTTAGTTGTGAATGAAGAGTTTAGAATATTTGGTTATAAATGACAAAGCTAAAACGTGGTTTGTGTGAACCCTGGTTTTGAAATTAGTTATGAATGACGAAGTTAGACTATTAAGTTGTGAATGAAGAGTTTAGAATATTTGGTTATGATTGACAAAGTTAGAATACTTTGTTATATATAATCAGTGTTTCTTCCAGACTTTTTTCTCCGGGGAAGGGCGGGGGGGGGGGGGAAACACACCTGAAATTTTCGAGGGGGGGGCGGTAGACCTTCTTCGGGGGAAGGGGGGGGGCGTACACTGTTAAAAGTATATATTTTCTATATAAATTTCATTTCGTTGGGGCGGAGGTAGACTTTCTTCGGGTGCGGGGGGGGGGGGGGGGGGGAGCCTGAAAGAAACTATGTATATAATCAAGCTAGAAAGTGGATCGCATGAATCCAAATTTTAATTTATTTGATTACATATGATGATCATCTTTTCCCGTTCGAGCTGAAGACACACGGGACAGATGAAGCAGAGTTCATCTGTTTTAGGGACCTCGGCGTATGTCTGGATAGTCTCTGGTTAAAAATGACAACGCTAAAAAGGAGTTCGCATGAACGCAAGACGCAAGTTTTTAACGATTTAGTTATGAATGAAAAAGCTAGAAAGAAGTTCGCTCGTACGTGTAAAGTTTAAGCAACTAATTAAAACAAATGGTCACCTGAGTTATTCCGATCATAAAAGGTGGTAAAAGTACAGGAAAGAGAGCTGACAGTGTTAAATTATTGTTAGTTTCTTCCGATAAATAAAACATCAATTTTTTTTTTTAAATTAAGATTTCCATGGGCTTTGTTAAAGGCTTCCATCAGTTGATACTTATATTTTTAAATAATTATGCTTATTATACGAATTTAATACAAAATTTACTAACATGCCTTAGCTTAGAGCCAGTTATACCAGTTTAACTTTAGATCTGTTGAGAGCATATCATACTATTTTATATGAGATTCATAGAACAACAACATATGCCCTTTACGGATTTCCCCTCCATATGTACGGCCAAATTGGTGGTTGGGGTCCCCTCAGTGGTTGGGGTGCCTTATGCTACTGAGGCTCCTGTGGTTGGGTCCACCCTCCATAATTAGGGCGCTTGGTTTCTCAGTGAAAAGTGCTGTTCTAACAACTACCAATCAACAAACAGGTTACAGCATGACGTAGTAATGACAGCGTTAGTGGCTCCAGTATTTGTTTTCTGACTCAAGTCTCAACACGAGAAGAATATTTCTAGCACATGTTGGCCTAATAGATAAATATTTTACTTCTGTGTTCTACACTCAACAAACTACAACGACACCTAATTAATAAGTGCCTGTTTCTCTTGAAATTAAAGTTACACGTTTTAAAAAATTAGAATTAAAAAGTGAAAGTTGTTTGGAAGCTCCGATAATGCTTATATCAGATTAAGTAATTGGACTACACGGGGACTATGCTAAATGTGGAGGAATATAAATTCTGTCCAGCATTTACCGTAGAAGGTGAGTGGTCCCATGCTAAGACCAATACCTATGACAAGTTCAAACCTGGGTTCAAACTGGAAGCTTTCGCATTAGCACTCGCGCACTACAATTAACCACTCAACATTTCATTGGGTAAACAGAAGCCACACAAATACTACTTAACAACGGTTCTTTGTACTACAACATGTAAAGTCTGGACCACAACATCACACCAATAGTACAAACAAACTAACGCCATTGTTTAAACAACCAGCAAAGAAAACGCTACCCAACAATACCATGGATCAGTGGTTCTTAAACTTGTTGGAGGTACCGGACCCCACCAGTTTCGTGTGCTCATTCGACGAACCTTTTTAATAGTTCTATCTATCGTCCGAACTAACTAAATCCAATCGTGAATCATATGAGTCTGGTGTGTGTCTCAACCTCCGCAAACCCCTGAAATTAACTTATTAAACCCTCTGGGTTCGATCGAACCCAAGTTAAGAACCAACGCCTTAGAATAAACAAACTAACGGCAGTCTTTAAAACGCTAAATGCTAGAAATAAACACATTCTAAACGCTTTCATGTTCGTAAACTTTGATCCGCAATTAATTTTCCAACCTAAATATTTAAAACAACGATTAAAACACTTCCTCAATTTGTGTTGTAAAAGCAAAATCTCAACTCGCTCATGTTCATTTATTATTCACTTGATAAACAGAATGTTTTAAAGAAAATATTGGGAAGCGTCTTTGTTTTAAAAGCGCTGAATAATTTAAAACCGCGTTTGAAGATGTTTATATTGAAAAAATGGTCGTTTTTAATTAAACGGGTACTGTAAAACTGTATATAAAGTAAATGTTTGTACAGGTTACTGAGCAAGACGCTTAGAGATAAAAAAAAATGTTAGATTCGAGTTCTTACCGGTTTTTATTTTTTATAATCTGTATCGTCAGTGAGAAATGACCGTCGGGGCCTCAGGTTGTAGGTATCAGGTGAGTCATAGAGTGCCGGGACGTCAACATTGAGAGGGTCGTTGATCACCTCGTTGGTCTCCACATCCTGTCTAGCCTCGTACAGTTGTCTCAGCAGCTCCAGCCGTCTCTTGATCCTCTCCAGCGTCTCGGAGCGGAAAGGTTTCGAACTCACTAGCCTCGGCGCGCTTCGTTTTCTCGCAGCTTCGTACTGACAGTAAGGACCGACAAACCCGCTTGGACACCGGCATCTGCAGTTGCCCCAGACACTGTTGGAGACGAGTAGACGTCCGCCATTGGCGCAGGGGATCCCGTTGCATACTCCGACACTTTTAGCCTCCGTATGCGGTAAGTGACAGGACATGACTGCGACGACGAGAAGGAAGAAGACCGAGGTTAAATGCCAATTTTTGAGCAGGTGGGCTATGGAAATTGATGAGTTACAATCTGAGTTTTGTAGACTGGGTGTGTTCTCGGAGGTACGCGACGAGGTGTTCCCCAGATCTGAAGAGCTTCCGCGTGTTTCTGTCCATTTCGGGCAGACACCCCGTCTATGAGAGCGGGTCTGATTGTCTTTAACTTCTGGACAGTCCGAGGTGTTAATTAGTCCATCTAAATTAGAACACATGTCGTTACCGTAGTCTTCTAAACTCTCCATTTCTCCACCGCTTATAGTCGTCCAAAAAAATAAATTAACTGAATGTATGTTTCAAATATCCGTAAATTAATTTCGTTATCTTTTTCTATTTGTTCTTTTTAATTTCTTTTTTTTTTTTAACTTAGAAAAAAAAATTAGTACGTTTCTGTATTAAATATATCTAGAAAGAACGGAATTTGTTTCTAAAATAATCAACTAAAATCTACTGGCTGTATAGCGAACAGTAGCCGAGTGGCGTGGAACAAGTACTAGCCAGCATCAGACGGACGATTGCCTTTTATTTCTGCCACCGCTCATGGTGCCCACACAAGTCCCACCTCATAACTCCACGCGTCGACGCGTGGGCTTGTGAAGCCCGCGCAGCGGACTGTGACACTAGTCAAGGGAAATAATCTGTTGTTGCTGCGGCAATGCGACTGTGCTTTTAAAAAAGAATATATAGGTCTAAATTTAGATTTCCCTTTTATACGGATTTTATTTACAAAATAAATTAAGTTATTGAACAGTTTAATTTTATGAATATGGTAATAAAAAACAAAATTACTTTGCAATTAAATGCGTAATGTGAACCCTTTAAATAATTATTAAACATTTTAGCTTCATAACTATTGTATTGTATACCCTAGTAATATATATTTTAGGTCAGCCTTGTTATTACTTTACCAGAAATAAAAAAAAAAAAAAAAAAAAAAAAAAAAAAAAACAGAAACATAAATATATATAGTAGGCTGCATTAAGATAGATGAAGGCTATTACTATTGTAAATTTGTAAAAGCCCTCACAAGCCGACGAAGAAAACTGTAATACAAAAATGAACACAGCAACACAAACTGACTCTGTAAATTACATGTCTGACGGAAAAAAAGATAAAATAATTAAAAACAAAGAAAGAAGTAAAGAACAAAGGTCTGAAATAACGACATGGGATAGGTCTATGTAGATGTCTGCTATAATGCCTGTTAATCGAGAGACTTGAATTTTAACGTTGATTTCGAGTGGTGGCTAAGGACGTTAACTAATTACATTTCGCTTCATTACACTTAAAAGTCGTTTGACAACATTACAGAAAGTAACAGCTAATGCTTGGTGTAGGAGCTGACGGTTTAAAAAAGAGGATACGTTCGTGAGGGGGAGGGGAATGCTTGGGGGTGTGGTGGTGTTGTCGTTACTTTAAGGTGAAAATTAAATCACATGGTATTCTGGATATGTCAGGTGTGTTAGAAAGTAGTACATGAATTGTATGGACTGAGCTTGAACACGATGTGTGGGAGTGATAGATAAATATGGGTTATTTGATGACGTCGATATGCACATTCTTAAAAGAAAACGTGTAGAAATTAAAGAAGAGTGCTTGTCAGAGGCGTAGCGAGGGCTGTGACACCATTTAATGGGATGATACCGAGGCGAAAAATTGCAAAATATACATAAGAAAAGATGCTTTTTTACCAGTTCCTTCAATAATTAATTACATGGGGGTGGGAGTGACACCAACATGTAAATATGCTAACCATAGAGAAAACAGTGCTAAAGTACGTGCGTGTATATGTGAGTGAATGTGTGTATGTGCGCGTGTGTGTGTGTGTTTGTGTGTGTGCGTAAATGTGTGCGTGTGTATATGTGAGTATGTGAGTGTATGTGTTTGTATGCGTATGAGTGTGTTTGTGTGTGGATGGAAGTGAAATGGGCAGATCCAAGCTCCTCACGACGCAGTGCAATGAAAAACGACAGGGGCGTATCTAGAACCAAGCAGAGGTTTGCGTTGGGTGATTTTTACATTTCTTTAAAAATGTTCATGCAACTATAGTGAGGTGTAGACTGTGACTCTGTTCATGAACACAAGTGAGCCACTACGACGCTGAAACGTTCAATTTTTTTTAATACTTTGCCTTAGTGTGTGTGTGGGGGGGGGGGGTGGGAGGAGGGGGTGGGGGAGTTGGAAGGGGATGAATTTGATTCCTGTATTATTATGTGTTTGGCAACACATCTTTTTAATGCGCTAATACCGCCCTCATTTTCCGGTCATTTCATCTCTGTTTACCCCTCCCTCCCCCCCCCCAACACCCCTGAGATCAGATATCTTTACACCTCCAGTGTCTGACTAATTATCACTTCTCACTTGAATATCACAATTTAACTAAAGGGAAGGGGATTGGAGGGGTGGGGGGTGTCCAGTTTCATGTCATGTAATTTAATCCTGGCGGTACAAAAACTACCATAGAGCAAAAAAAAAAAAACAATTCGTTTCGCCATCTCAGTGACGTCATTCAGCTACGTCTTTGACGTCATGCAGGTCAATGCAGCGCACACGTTAAATTATACATTAGTGACGTCATACAAACTACCTCTGCTATACTTGAAAAGCAGCTTCAACGACGTGATACCCACAGTATAGATGACGTTTCACAACCTGTTTTCTTAAGCGTTTTAGGACGTCACACAATTGCACGAAAAACGTGATAAGAACGCCTACAGTAACGCCTTGATGAAGTTCCTGCTGTCTATACCGTCATGAATCCTATGATGGAGGGCAGCTATCCGCCAACGTGGTATCGGCTTGTGTATAGCCTGACGTATCAAGTGCATGACTGGCCAGAAACATTTGCCATCGGAGTGGTTTGACCTTTTAGATTTGTGTTTTAAAGAAATCCAAAGACTGGTCTAAAACGTTGTCGAGGTTGACATTAAAAAATATGATTCATATAAAGAAAAAGTTTTATTCGGTTTAAATTATGGTTTTAGGCAGGAGAATATTGATTTCAGATTGATTTACAGTTAAGTATATTTATATGTGCTTACTTAACCGGATAATAGATTTACAAGGGATATATTTATTGGAAGACAGATTTACGTAGGATCAAAGATATCGTTAGGATTGATAAGTTAGAATAGATTAAATGTGATAAATTAGTAAGAAATTAGAATTACCTGTGATACATTTACATTTAAATAGGTTTACATGTAATAGAATTTAATGTAGATATATTTACAATTGATACACCTAACGCAGATAGTTTTATTGGGACACTAATATTAAACATGTTATAACAGAAGATATAACATTTAAGGTTGCTATGACAGAAGATATAACATTTAAGGTTGAAATGACAGGCGATATAACATTTAAGGTTGTTAATGTTATGACAGGCGATATAATATTAAACATGTTGTTATGACAGGGGATATAACATTTAAGGTTGTTATGACAGGCGATATAACATTTAAGGTTGCTATGACAGGCAATATAACGTATAAGGTTGTTATGACAGGCGATATAACATTTAAGGTTGTTATGACAGGCGATATAACATTTAAGGTTGCTATGACAGGCGCTATAACGTATAAGGTTGTTATGACAGGCGATATAACATTTAAGGTTGTTATGACAGGCGATATAACATTTAAGGTTGTTATGACAGGCGATATAACATTTAAGGTTGTTGTGACAGGCGATATAACATCTAAGGTTGGTATAACAGATGGTATACCATTTATCAGCTCTTTATATCCACGATAACAGGTGCTATAACATTTAACAGGTTGTTATATCCACGATAACAGATGGTATTATATTTAATAGAGTATCGTGGAACCAAGTAAATAGACATAAATGTGGGTAGACTTTCTCGATACATTTTTCTAAACTTTGGACAGTGATAATTGATCTAGGAGAGTTCAATAGTTCAGTCTGTGACATATGATGAAGTATTATATGACACTTTGTGCCGTATTAAATCTGGCGACTACATTTACATTTTCTTTTTTGGCTGATTATTCGCTTTTTGAAAAGGTGATTTTAATCAGGCAAACTAGTTTTGCTATTGCAAAATATATCAATTATTTTCTGATGGTATATTCTACTCTATAAAGTAATATGAGTACAACTGTGGGTTTTTTAAATGCTTTTTGTTCTACCTTCTTGATAGAGAACATAGGGAACCTATTTGGTTATCTTATGCCATAGTAATATTTTACCATCAGACAGACTCATCCTAATTTTAAACCCAAGCTTAACCCTAAGCATTTACAGAATTATAAAGCTGTTTCAATTTCTGGACAACAAATCTCAACTCTTCGACAACAAATCTCAACTGTCCGACAACAAATCTCAATTTCTGGACAACAAATCTCAACTCTTCGACAACAAATCTCAACTCTTCGACAACAAATCTCAACTCCTGGACAACAAATCTCAACTATCCGACAACAAATCTCAATTCCTGGACAACAAATCTCCACTGTCCGACAACAAATCTCAACTCTTCCACAACAAATCCCTACTCCACGACAACAAATCTTAACTCTTCGACAACAAATCTTAACTCTCCAGCAACAAATCTCAACTCTTCGACAACAAATCTCAACTCTTCGACAACAAATCTCAACTCTTCGACAACAAATCTCAACTCTTCGACAACAAATATCAACTCTTCGACAACAAATTTTAAATCTCAAACTGTGTTGAACGGTGATGTTTGGTGTTTTAATCGCCATTAAAGAAACAGCTAATAATTATACCAAGCTTGAGATTAATTTATTTCGCAACTTTTACTTCATGTGAGAGAGAAAGATAGGGGTGGGGGAGTGGGGTAAAGCCTAGACTCATGGATGGGAGGAGGGGGGATCTTATATTATTCCTAGCAAACCTTGCCAGGTATGTACCGTAGGAAATTGGCTTGTCCAGAAGATTAACATAAATACTTGTGTGTAGCTTAGAATTAATTAATTTCACAACTTTGACATTATAGGCGGGAGGAGGTGGGAAAACCTTAAATTGGGGGGGGGGGGGGTAGATCTTAATATTATTCCTAGTAATCCTTGCCAAGTATTTAGCATAGTATTTAGCATACCTATCCAGTAAATGGTCCCCACCCCACCCTATACACCAAAACTCTTTTCCCCGAAACTAATTCTGTAACAACAGGCAACTTTTAAAAAAAAATTGTTCAGCTTTTTTTCTTTCCTCTTTCCCGATATATCCAACGCCCCATAACCACTCAGAATAGTATTCAATCAATGATCAAGAATTTTATACAATTATAACCCAAAGCCCCCCCCCCCCCCCCTCTTCCGTATACGGTTATCCAACAATGAACCTTTATTCTTTAAAACCCTTTACACAAAACCAGTCGAATTTAACTTTCCATTGCCTCTTCCCTGGCTCTCATCGTAGCTTCTAGAAGCAAGGTAAACGGTTGCAGTGACCTCTACAGAATGACCTTGCGTATGACGTCATCTGAAGGTTGGGAGAGAGGGGGTGGAATGAA